TGTGAAGAACATGCAAGATTGTTGCATAGGTACATGCATGGCAGTGTGGTTTGCTGCCCTCCTCCCCATCACCTACATCTGGTATTTCTCCCCATGTTATCCCTCCCCAACTCCCCACCCCGCACTGTCCCTCCCGTAGTTCCCCTACACAGACCCCAGTGTGTGATGCTTCCCTCCCTGTGTCCATGTATTCTCATTGTTCAACACTCACCTATGAGTGAGAACATGTGGTGTTTGATTTTCTGTTCTTTTGTCTTTGCTGAGAATGATGGTTTCCAGGTTCATCCATGTCCCTACAAAGAACACAAATTAATCGTTTTTTATGGCTGCATAGTATTCCATGGTGTATATGTGCTGCATTTTCCCTATCCAGTCTATCATCGATGGGCATTTGGGTTGGTTCCAAGTCTTTGCCATTGTAAACAGTGCTGCAGTGAACGTTCGTGTGCACGTGTCCTTATAATAGAACAATTTATAATCCTTTGGATATATACCCAGTAATGGGTCAAATGGAATTTCTATTTCTAGGTCCTTGAGAAATCGCCACATGATCTTCCACAATGGTTGAACTAATTTACATTCCCACCAACAGTATAAAAGTGTTCCTATTTCTCCACATCCTCTCCAGCATCTGTTGTCTCCAGATTTTTAAATGATTGCCATACTAACTGGCATGAAATGGTATCTCAATGTCGTTTTGATTTGCATTTCTCTAATGACCAGTGATGATAAGCATTTTTTCATGTTTATTGGCCTCATATATGTCTTGTTTTGTAAAATGTCTATTCATATCCTTCGCCTACTTTTAAATGTTTTTTTTTTTGTTTTTCCTTATAAATCTGTTTTAGTTCTTTGTCAATTCTGGATATTAGCCCTTTGTCAGATGTGTAGATTGCAAAAATTTTTTCCATTTTGTTGGTTGCTGGTTCACTCTAATGACTGTTTCTTTTGCTGTGCAGAAGCTCTGGAGTTTAATTAGGTCCCATTTGTCTGTTGTGGCCTTTGTTGCCAATGCTTTTGGTATTTTAGTCATGAAGTCCTTGCCTATGCCTCTGTCCTGAATGGTTTTGCCTAGATTTTCTTCTAGGGTTTTCATGGTGTTAGGTCTTATGTTTAAGTCTTTAATCCATCTGGAGTTAATTTTAATGTAAGGTTTCAGAAAGGGGTCCAGTTTCTGCCTTCTGCACATGGCTAGCCAGTAATTTCAGGAGACTATAGTTTTGAGGTATAGAAGACCTTCAGAGACCAGACAGGAAGTGCACAAGAAATAAAGGAAAATATCAACATATTTAAATACATAAAAGTTAAAAAATTCTGACAGAATACCACGTAAATTATGTCAAAATACTTTGTCACACATATGTGTTCAAATAATCAAAAAGATCAGAATCTAAAGAGCATCTATTCAAGCACAAAGCATGAGAGTGGACCACTCAGAAATACCAACTCCAATGGAATGAAGTCAGCCTTTGGAAGTAGGGAAGTTTAGGTTTCATTCACATAGGCAGAGACTAGAGGAATTTTTAGTGGGAATACAACATTATTCCTACTGGTTAGCACATAGGTACAGTGGTTTGATTGTTATAGGTGGAAGGGTACATTTAACTTTTTTAACAGAGGGCGTAATAATGGTTTTCTATAGTCTGATTTAAGCAAAGTAAAACAACAAACGGAACGTTAATACGGGGGTTGTTAATTACAAAGGCAGGCTCACACATGTAGTCTCAGCTACTCTGGAGGCTGAGGCAGAAGGATTACTGGAGCCCATGAGTTCAAGTCTGTAGTGAGCTGTGATTGTGCCACTGTAGGCTTGGGTGACAGAGTGAGACCGGGTCTCTGGGGAAAAAATAAGACAGGAGGTTTTTGTTCCTGACATTGTTTAATTCTCTAGTTATTGTACAGAACAAGAAAAATAAAAAAGCGAGTTAATCTATAATCTGAGAACGAAAGTTGTAACCATATGTGACTCAAATCACAGTCACATCTCTCTCAAGGCTTGAAGTGTTTTTTTTTTTTTTTTTTTTTGACAGCTTTTAAATGTTATGTTCACATTTGACAGTCAAAGGTTTGATAACCCTAATTTTTAAGTAGAGAAACAGACAATCTAATAGAAAAATAGACAAGAATGTGAATAAGCAGTTCATGGAAGAGAAATGAATGTTGTCAAAACAAAACGATAAAATGATGCTCCATAGAAGTAAATACTTATTTAAGGGCAAAATTTGAAAAGCACAAGAGATGCTGCTGGAGGGATGGAGAAATGGCCTCCTGCATCCCCTGTGGTGAGGATGTGGACTGCTGCAGGTACAGTCCACACAGGCACAGCCCACATTCTTTGACTTGCTGTCTCACAGTTAGGTCCCTCCTACCAAAACAAAAGGGCCAGTATTTACATGTATGAGGATGTTTTTTATTATAGCAAGAAATTGAAAAATATTTATATGTTCAGTAATATGGAATGGGCTAAACAAATATATTTATACTATGCAGTATTTGCCATCTATAAAAATAATGCCTTTAAGGTTACATGTATTGATTAGGAATAATCTTTATGCTAGATTAATTAGAAAAGGAACACATTTCAGAGAGATGTTAATATGATCACGTAGAAAATATATGTTTGTGTGGTTAGAGATTTGGAAGGATACACACATACAAAAATGTTCTTAGGTGAATAGGATTGGGAGAGGGTAGCAAGAGAAAATCATATTTTTCCTCTATAAACTTCTATATTTTTGTCTTGTTAGAATAAGTTCAGAACATTAAAATGTATTTTTTTAAAAACCCTTAACTCTGTCTTAATCTTTCTAATTTCTAATCGCTTGTGATGAAGCCTGGGCATAGCCTGTGTGCTTTTCTTTTGAAGAAGTTGTGGTACACCTTTCAGAAGAGAACCCTGTCTTCCACTTCCTGGTCTGCTTTCTAAGCTCCTCTATCTGTTGCTCTCATTTCAGTGATCCATCACTTCAGCCACTTTCTGACCAATGTTCTTGGTTTCTTTGCTGTTTTATATTTCATTTGTGCTTGCACGCTCTCTCTTTCTCTCTCTCTCTCTCTCTCTCTCTCTCTCTCTCTCTCTCTTTCTTTGTTTCTTTCTCATTCTCTTCTCTCCTTCTCTCTTTCTCTTTTTCTCTCTTCCTTTCTTTCCTTTTCGTTTCATTTCCCTCCCTCCCTCCCTCCCTCTCTCTCTTTCTTTCCGTCTTTATGTCTTTCTTCTTTTTCTTTTTCTGTCTTTCTCTTTCTGTCTCTTTTTTTCTTTCTTTCCTTGCTTTCTTTTTCTTTCTCTGTCTCTTTCTCTTTGATGGAGTCTTGCTCTGTTGCCCAGGCTGGAGTGCAATGGCTTGATCTTGGTTCACTACAACCTCTGCCTCCAGGGATCAAGTGATTCTCCTGCCTCAGCCTCCCAAGCAGCTGGGATTACAGGCGCCCACACTGTGCCTGGCTAATTTTTGTATTTTTAGTAGAGCTGGGGTTTCACTATGTTGGCTAAGCTGGTCTTGAACTCCTAACCTCGTGATCTGCCCACCTCAGCCTCCCAAAGTGCTGGGACTACAGGCATGAGCCATCACTGCCAGCCTCATTTGTGCTTTTTAGGCTGATCATCAATAGGCAAAGATCACAGTCTTAGGATTAGTGACCCTATAGATTTGTGTTCTGCAGCCTCAATTATTTCCTTAAGATATCCCAGCAGCACTTGTGTTTTCCCTGGTTAACACTCTCCTGAAATGTGAGTGGTGTTCCAGACATTTCTCTCTTTCCTCAGACCTTTAATGCCATCTTTTCTCTCTGGCAGCAAGTAGCTGTGTCTTCTGCTCTATGGGGAACATGAAAACGCCACAAAATACTTGCCACTAAATATGCTGTCAGTCTTCCTCCTTCTCTTTTGCCAAGGCAAATAGGCGACCTGTGCTGGAGTCCCAGCCCTACCTGTCTCCTTCTGGATATTCCCTACATGGATTATCCCTACTGGCCATTGCATCCATCTCTTCCACTTTCTCTCATTCACACATTGCAAGAGTAAATACAAGGCCTTTGATGCCTATACCATCTGGTTCTTTGTTTCCTCTGTGACCTCTCTGTGGTATACCTATACTTATAGATAGAGAAAAAGAAGGAAGGATATTTGGGTAGAATAATGAGAAAGCAGCATGAGCTAAATCGAGTAAGAAAACCTCAAGAGTAAAGATGGATAACATGGTGAAATAAACCTAAACATAGCCTTATGTCCCTTACCCAGACTTGGGGGATGGTAGGAAACATATTTCACTCTTACCTGAGCAAATGAAGGTTAATTGTTAGAACTACCAGATTATACCCTTATAATTTCTTACCTAGAGTTATAAGCCTGACTGTTATACTTTGATATTTGTGTTCTATTCCAGTTTTTTGAAAACAAGTGAAACATAAAACTTTATCTATAAGCTGGTATTCCTCAAGTGTATTCTGTAGAAAAGTAGCTTGGGGACTGGGTTTGGGAAATACAGAATTAAATCTTTAATGTGTGGAAGTGCCTTGTGAATTCCTAGGAGCAGGTAGCCAGTGTGGGGTTTCCATCCTCGTGACCATGGATCCCTTTCCTTGCCCGTCTATCTCACCCCTTTTCCTAATGTGTAGCATCTGTCCCAAGGAAAACAGTTTGAGAAATGCTGAAAGACACAAATAAATATGAAGTACTAAAGAAAATAAAAAGAAAAATCAGGTTGCATGATGTACAGTAATATGGTTAGTAAGAATTTTTTTATTACCTTTCAGTTTGCATTCTTTTCCAAGTCTATGCATTTTAAAGATAGCAAATGATTTTTAAAAAATGAAAAAAGATTATTTTGACTAATTATACTTTGAAGGGAATAAACTGTTTTGTAAATAAGCATAGGAGAGTTTTAGTGTGACTAAAATCTTTTCTAATACCAGAGGTTATGATGTTATGTATTTTAAGGTTTTTATTAGGATTGACCTGAATTTTTGTTATTTGAGTTATGTTTTCTTATCTTTTTTTCCAGTGGCAGCCGATTAGGAGGCCTGGTTACAGTGTTGTGCTTCTTTTTCAATCATGGAGAGGTAGGTAATCAAAAACTATTCTCAGAATTACTCCGGGAAATGCAGGTTTCTTTAAATTTAATCTATAATGGTATTCTTTTAATGTTTGATCTTATTTTGACTCATAATTTAAACACTAGCATTCACTTTAACTTTTCATGGCCATTATGCTTTTTATGTGATATAAAACTTAGTAATTTGATGAAATAGTAGAGTCTGTATCAATTTGAATATATATATTTTTTGAGGCAGGGTCTCTTTTTGTTGCCCAGTGTGGAGTGCAGTGGTATGATCATAGTTCACTGTAGCCTCAAACTCCTGGGCTCAAGTCATACTCCTGCCTCAGCTTCCAGAATAGCTGGGACTACAGATTCTTATCACCACACTCAGCTAATTTTTAAAAATTTTTATAGAGATGGGATCTTATTGTTTTGCCCAGGCCAGTCTCAAATTCCTGGCCTCAGGGATCCTCCTGCCTTGATCTCTGAAAGTGTTGGGATTACAGGCGTAAGCCACGTGCCTAGCCTCAAGTATCAATTCTTTGTATAATTTTAAAACTGTGAAAGCTCATGTTTTAGGAAGGATAAAAGTAAGCTGGTAATCAATATAACTTTCTTTTGTGGGGATAACTTTTTGTTGCAGGAGCTATAAAGTATATTGTTATTTCAGTGTATTAACATTTAATATTTTAAATACTTTTTGCGAAGTATTTGAGTATTTCTTGCAAAAAGTACTCAAGGGCTTTCTAAAGAGAACGACATTGTAAAGAATATAGACTCTGGATCCAGGTTATGCAGGTTCAAATCCTGACTGCCATTTAGTGGCTGTGTGACCTGAGCAAGTCATTTAATCTCTCTGCCTTAGTTTCCTCTTTTTAAATGGAAATAATGACATTACCCACCTCATAGGATTATTGCAGAGACTAAATGTATTCATACGTGTAAATGCCTATAACAATGTTTAGCACATGGTAGCTGCTGTATAGTTGTTAGCTTGTATTATTACTGTTACTTAGTGTAAATTCTAATATAAATTCAGGGTATCAATGATTTCTTTTTTATGGATTAATCATAGTTGTAAATGAATTTCTAGTAATTCATCGCTGTCTGGATTTCTTTCATGGTAAATTTTGTTTGAAGGAGAAAAGAATAAAGGTCAGCTGGCTTTATGTGAAGTGACTTTGTCCTTCCATGCATTTTATACACTCAGTGCCTGCAGTATTTGAATATGCACGTTTTAACATGTGCTGTAAGAGTTGTCATCTCCAAGCATAATACAGAGTCAATGCTGGACTTCTTTTTAGTCAGCGAGTTACTAATGGATATTTAGCTAATATGGTATTAGTATTTGGAATCCCAGAAATGTAAAGCTAGAGTATTTGACAACTGGTTGCAACATGACATCAGTTAATTGGTGTGGTATGTGTTTCAAAAAAAAAAAAAAAAAAAAAAAGATGTGGCTGTTCCTGACTGTGGATCCTGCACATTGTGATAGTGTGGACCATGAAACACTTTAAAACTATTTTTTTTTTTTTTTTTGAGACGGAGTTTCACTCTTGTTACGCAGGCTGGAGTGCAATGGCGCGATCTCGGCTCACCGCAACCTCCGCCTCCTGGGTTCAAGCAATTCTCCTGCCTCAGCCTCCTGAGTAGCTGGGATTACAGGCACGTGCCACCATGCCCAGCTAATTTTTTGTATTTTTAGTAGAGACGGGGTTTCACCATGTTGACCAGGATGGTCTCGATATCTTGACCTCGTGATCCACCCTCCTCGGCCTCCCAGAGTGCTGGGATTACAGGCGTGAGCTACAGTGCTCAGCCTTTTTTCTGATTTTTAAGTATATACTTCCTCTAATGACAAAAATACCTACTCTGGTAGTACCTATTTATGTATTTAGTGAGCTTTTGGAGGGCATTACTCAGTGGAAATGCTGGTTACTAATTGGTACCTTACTTTCTTAGGAGAGTTACTTTGATCTTATGAGGGATTGGTTTATGTTACCGAGAATAGTTGTGAATTGTTACTTGTGTTTAAGTTCTGTTTCCATTATTTAGTTTGCTCTGTACTAAATGCGTTTTTTACTTTTTAAAAATTTTCTTTTTCCTCATATGGTTTACAAGGGAAAAATTTTGCCTGAACAAACTAGTTATAAAATATATAGCATGAATAGCTTGATTATTAAATAAATTATTTAAAACAGAAATTTAAAACTTTTAAATCTGAAACTTGTGAAAATTCAATAAAAGGGATCATAATAATGATCAGTAATATTGAGGTTATACATTTTATAATCAAAACTATGCAGATGTTTTCATTGATCAAGCTTCTTTAATATTCATTCTATAACAATTGAGAATTTCTGCAAAGATGAAAGCTAGCAATTTCATTTGCCTTTAAAATGTTTTCTTGTACAAGATGCACACAGTGTGTGTTGATGGTGCATGGTTTTGGCATGCTGATTGAAAAGCACATAGATGTGTATTAAGAAAAACCTGAATACAGTATTTTTCTCCAATTTTTTGACTGTTAGAAATACGTTTTGTGAAATAGGATTGTTTAGCTTTTTCATGGCAAGATAAAAAAAGTTATTACTAAGCATGATTAATGCTGTTTTATGTAAAATATGTTCACATATATAAAGATGTGCACATATGAAGAGGAAATTCCCTACTTTGTATTTTTTAAAAATAAATACTTTTAAAAAAAAGCAATTGAGAGTAAATGGAAGGATTGCTTTGAGGTTCATGTCTAATTAATCCATTTTTGTGACCCACAATGTGTTTCTGACCCATATTTCTTAAATATTTTTTGCACTGAACTCTGAGATTAAATTATAAACGTACATGTTCCTAATTATTGACATAGTTATGCCATTTATATAAATTTGGAAAAGAATTCTTAGAATACTTTGAAAACAATCTCATGAATCCTTATAATATTCTTATATGGTAGATACCTAGTAAATAGCCCAATATCATAAAAATGGTAGCACTAAAACATTAAGTGATTGGCTCAAGGTTATCCGGGAGGGAGATGATTTTATTTATTTATATTTTTAAAAATTTATTTGTTTTAACTCACAAATAATTGTATACAATGTGATGTTTAGATTTATGTATACATTGTAGAAAGATTCAGTCAAGCAAATTAACTTATCTGTTCCCTCACCAAATTGGCATTTTTTTCATATCTATTCCCTCACCAACTTAGCATTTTTTGTGGTGAGAATGCTAAAAATCTCAAAATTTCAGCAATTTTGAAATATGCAATACATTATTATTAACTGTAGTCACCAAATAGAGCATTAGGTCATTAAAACGTATTCCTCCTGCCTAACTTAAACTATCTCTTTGAGTCAACATCACCCCATTACGCATCTCTCCCCTAAGCCTCTGGTAACTGCCTTTCTGTTCTCTGTTTCTATGAGATTGACTCTTAGATTCCACACATAATTGAGATCATAGTATTTGCCTTTGTGTGCTTGATTTATTTCACTTAGTATAGTATCTTTTAGTTCCATTCATCATGTCTCAAATGACATAATCTTTTTTTTTAAGGCTGTGTCATATTCCATTGCATATGTATAATACATTTTGTTTATTCATTAATCTCTTGATGGACACTTAGGGTTGCTTCCATATCTTGGCTATAGTGAATAATGCCGCAATGAATATGGGAGTGCAGATATCTCTGACATACTGATTTCAGTTCCTTTGGATATATACTCTGAAGTAGGATTGCCAGTTCCATTATTATGGTTTTCTAGAAGGACTGTATAAATTTACACTCCCACCAGCAGTGTCCAAGAGTTGCCTTTCCTCCACATCCTGTCTAACGCTTATCATGTGTCTTTTTTGATAATATTGATTCTAACCGGTGTGGGTTGATATCTCACTGTGGTTTTAATTTCAATTTCCTCTATGATTTGAGAAGCAGAGCATTTTTTTCATATATCTGTTAGCCATTTGTATCTTTCCTTTTGAGGAGTGACTTCAGATTCGTTGCCCATTTTAAAAATTAAGTTGTTTTCTTGGTATTATTTGAGTACCTTATATATTTTGAATATTGGTTTTTTTATCAGAGGTGTGGCTTGCAGATGTTTTCTCCCAATCCATGGGTTGACTCTGCGCTCTGTTAATTATATCCTTTGCTGTACAGAAGCATTTTAGTGTGATGCAATTTTAATGGGCTATTTTTGCTTTCCTTGCCTGTGCTTTTGCAGTCTTATCCAAGAAATCATTGCCCAGATCAATATTGCAGATCTTTTTGCAAAGAGAGGATTACAAGTTTCCTGATTCCCCATTAATCTCTTCAAACACAAAACTCTTAGGTAGGGGAGTAGCATTTCAAAGAAGACATCCCTATAATTTATCTTTTACAAATGAAATGTGCAGAGATCTTTTCTTGACAATCTGTGGACCTCTTTTTCTTTCATTCTTTCTTCCTTTCTTTCCAGTGTTGGTTGCTCTACATCCAGTACTTTTTAATGCTTGAGATGTGTAAGTAAAACAAAGACTGCTATCCTTGAGGACAATCATGAATGTGGGATAATCTTCTTCCTGAAAGCAGGAGAATAATTGGCTTATTTGAGCAGCAGCAAGGAGGAGCAGAGAGTAATAGCAGATAAGGTCAGACAGATAATAATGGGAGGTGGGATAGAGTAAGAGCAGATTTCTGTAGGTCATTGTAGGGTCTGTTTGGAGTGAATGGAAGAGCACTGGAAAATGATGACTATTAGAGTGAGATGATTTACATGAATTTGGGAAATAGTGTAAGTATAAGATGCATAATTTTATGCAGGCTATTCACTGGTATGTCTGTGGATTTGTGAACTTATTAATTAAACTTACAGTAACTTGAGAAGTTCAATAAAAACTGTGTTAATCTTAGCAGCATATCTGCTGATGTAAATTTGAAAAGCAGCCAACGGTAGAAAAGTAGCCTACAACATTTTTTATGACCTTGCCCCAGCTGGGTTTCTGGTTTTGTCTCACATCACTCTTCAGGCTATCTTTGTTTGC